ATCAATGGCTAAAACATAAAATGGTTAATTAAGAAGTGACTAGGGGCAAAAACAAAATTTATTTCAAACTTGAATCACATGACCACCTTATTTGACTTTTTATTTTCTTTTCAAATTAAATTTTTTTACCCCTTAATATTAAACTAAATTATCCTAATCTTTTAATAAAACAAATTATAACAAAAACTAGCATTTCATTCTTTTCGATTTGACATCAATTTCGATATAGTTTTTTTTTTGCCATTTTTTACGTGACATGATATATCTATGTCATATTCATCATGAATATTTATGCATGTTCACATGTATACAAGAACTCTTTAATGTTCACATCGGTATGATATTTATCATGAATATACAAATTCACTGTAACATTCATCATGAATATTTATTTATTTTCACGTGTATTCAATAAATGTTCAGTATTCATGCATCACTATGATATTAATCGTTAATATACATTTTAGCTATAACATTTATCATGAATATAATACTGTTCATCATGAATATTCATGTGCGTTCACATATATACAACAATTTTTCAATATTAATACATCAATATGATATTCATCATGAATATATACAAGAACTAGTATTCATACATCAACATGATATTTATCATTAATATACATTTTCACTATAACATTCATCATCAATGACGAACTAACGGAAGGGTTGTGGCTGGTGGTATTGTCTCTCATGATATATGGTCGAAGTTCGATTGAGGAAGTGAGGAGAGTAGTCGTTGTCGATTACGAAATTAGGTTAGCTTTAGTTAGAACTTAAAAGGTAAAATATAAATTATTAACTAAAATATCGGGTCATCAGACGGGTCGCCAGGCGGGGGGGGAGTAGGATACCCAACCCGATCCTACTTACCCGAGGAAAATATCGGGTTTCGAGGTCAGATTTTCTGCAGTTTTTCGGGTCGGGTTAGATCAAGTATTTCGGTATTGTTCACCCTATACAAAACATTGTACGAATTTTGAGCATGCAGAAGTTTATGATTGTTATTGTGGATCTTATTAAAACTAAATCAAACAAACCAACTCAATATATTTCAGTTGTATGGCGACCTTTTTTCTACTTCCTATTTTTTGAAAATGCTAGATCAGTAGACCTTATTGCAAGGTCTAAATGTTGAAAATCTTAAGACCAATATTCAAATTTATGCCTATAAAAATTGACATCTATTGTAAAAGTCATGCTTTGAAAAACAGTTGAGATTCATCTTGATTGGTTGAAAAAGAATGCTGGTACAGAGCATTTTTGGCTGCTATGGTGAAGAAACTCACCTGCTCGAAAATTCAGTTATTTTAACCGAAATCCAAGAACCTGGATTACCTGGTTGGGTTGGTGACGGGAGAAAAACTAAATGTGTAATCGACTTGGCCAAAGAGGCTTGGACCAAGAGGATCATGTTCTTATATATATATATATATATATATATATATATAGGGATGTTATTCTACACCCTTTGCCATTCCTACACCCTATACAACCCTCATCTCAACCATTCAATTTTTAATCAATTAATTGTTTCCTAATATAAAATATTAATCATAATTAATAAACTCTATTCATATTCCATAAATATTCAAATCATAATAAATGAACTCCAATCATTTCTATAAATATCTCAATTAATTGGGTTGCAAAGGTTGTACAAATGCACAAGGTTGTAAAAGAAATATACCCTATATATATATATATATATATAGAAAGAGAGAGGTTGGTTATTATACAACTCTTGACATTTGTGCAACCAATACAACCCAATCTTCAACCATTCATTTCATTTGATTAATATGTGATTTCACAAAAATTTTGATTGTTTCCTAATATAATGTATTGATCATAATTAATGAACCATATTCATCTTCCATAAATATTCAAATCACAATAAATGAACTCTTATCATTTCCATAAATATTCAAATCATAATAAATGAACTCTTATCATTTCCATAAATATCTCAATTTATTGGGTTGCATTGGTTGTACAAATGCGATGAGTTGTATTTAAAACAAACTCTCTCTCTCTCTCTCTCTCTTTATATATTTATATATAATATTGCAAACTTATTTTTGTTAACTATTCTCCAATTGTTGTCTTATCTTTCTTTTTCTAAGAGAGCGATATAAGTAGTGTTTTTTTTATGGAAAATATTATTTATATGACTTGATTCTCATTTTGATAAAAAATATTGACATGTTTAAAATTAAAAGCTTGCATTTAAGTATTTACCGTAAATATCATTATGCTTTATTTTTAACATATTCTCATCATTTGATGCAACGCTAGCATTTGAGAAAACCGTTGAAATAATTCATCTACTAATGAACCACAAACTTCAATCTCAAAATCATAGTAGCAACCAAGAATAAAATTCTCAACTTGTATTATATATATATTCGTCAACTAAAAAAAACTTTAAAATTAGCCACAGTCATTTTAACCATGTTGTCTAGGCTGCACCTCAGTTAGTCTTAAGAGTTAGTCTTGGAAAATTTAGAACCGATGATTATGAGTAAGATTCCTATAAAAACATCATCTACTAATCATTTTTACACAAGGAAACATGTTTTTCACAACCTTAACATTAATTTGCTTTTTTATTCTATCTTACATTCAATAAGAAAATGTAAAATGGATCAACATATATATTTTATTTGGTGGAAACCTGTTTATAATAGGTATATATTCAAAATTTACACTCAGCTATAGTGTATGGGTATACAACTAGCAACAGGATGGAAAAAAAAAAGAAAAAAGATGAAACATGATTGACAGCAGCATCGTGCGAGCATCGTGCATACAGCAGCATCGTGCGAGCATCTTACTAGTATACACACACACATACATACACACATATATGGGTTCAAACGAAAACACCCATTTTTCACTTCAAATTTATTAACACATAATAAAAATTAGAATAAATGAAAATAAATTAGTATTTATTAACAACTTTATGTTATCTTAGATTTATCCTTATTCTTTGAATGTTGTTATTATCATAAAAGACTTTTTATGCTGATATCTCCGTTGTTGATAACGATGTAATATTGTGATAATGATATGATTTTGTTGTGATGATAATGTGATAATGTTTTAATAAATCGAAGATTTCTTATGATGTGATTTTGCTATGACAGTGATATGGTAATTATGTGATTTTGATGGGATAATGTTGTGATAATCGAAAACCAGTAATGAACACCTCCATAATCATCATTCTGTTCGTTCATTATGTGATTTTATTGTGATAATAATTTGATATATTGTGATTGGTGAATATACTCTCTGTACGTTATTTTAAGGATAAGGAAGTCACTAACTTACAGATAAATATAAATCACATGATTACGCTTAATTATTTACTTTATTTTCTTTTAATTTTAAGTATGGGTTAAATGATTTGAAGGCTAAGAAATGTTCTTGCATTTTCGTAAAGTAAAAGTGTTCTCGTTTAAACCCCTCCATAAAAATATAGTGTTAGGTTTTGGTGAGAAGGAAAGTTATGTTGAAAAACGTTAGAAAAGAGATTTCTACTCTTGGATCAATTTTAATTGAATGTCAACACTAATAAACTGAATCGAGATGCACCAAATCAATTCCCTTCTAAAGCACAATTAGTGTGTGGACATGAAATTAAAATTGATCAAATGTTCAAATTTCTTCCTATGCTTCTTATTATAACTTTCCTTCTCACACGATCTTTCGTTTCTCTTTCTTTTTCTCTCTCTCTCTCTCTCTATATATATATACATACATATATATATATATATATATATATATATAGAGAGAGAGAGAGAGAGAGAGAGACTGGTTAGATTACAAACCGCCTAATTCGTGAAAACCATGCAAACCACTCTCGACTAATAATAAATTTCCGTTTTTTACTTTAATTTTAATAAGTAAGAGTATAGTTGTCATTTTACTGTATAATGGATAATATTGGAAATGATTTAATTATTTTTAAATATGAAAACGTAAATATAAAAACCGTTTATATGGAAGTTGTAAATCAATTGTTTTAAATATAATATTGGAAATTATTTAATTATTTTTAAATATGGAAACGTAAATATAAAAACTTTTATATGGAATGTGTAAATCAATTGTTTTTAAATATAAAACGGTGAAACAATGAAATAGTTGCATACAATGAAGACGACAGATTAATAAAGTTTCATAATGTGAAACCGATTCATACAGTGAACCATGCAGATTCAAACATGTGAATAAATATTGTAAAACAGATTCATACAATGAAGAAATACATGTTCATCTAGTTAAGAAATACAGATTAATACGATGAACCAGATTTATACAGTGAAATAGTTGCATACAGTGATGAAAATACAGTTTCATACAGTGAAATACAGTTTCATTCAGTGAAATAGTTGCATACAGTGAAGAGGATAGTGATGAAATACAGATTCATATGGGTGATTTGTCGATTTTGCCTCTTTTTTTAATTAAAAATCAAACTTTTTTTTCTTTTTTCTTTTAATTTCCTAATATAACACTATTTAATCTTGACCATAGATCAAGAAAATGGATGGATGAGATCGGTTTGTAGGGTTTTCACAAATAAGGGTGGTTTGCAATTGATCGCTCCTCTCTCTCTCTCTCTCTCCATATATATATATATATATATATATATATATA